TGGCACCCAGCCCTGCAGCTACTGTTCTCCAACCTTGTTTCATAAACGACACCAGTTGGGGTTCCCGAGAGCCATCCTGCTCTCTCTAACCTCCCTGCCATTGTCATGCTGTTCCCTGTCTGGACCACCTTCCCTTCCACTGCTACATGGCCAAACTCCAGATGCTGCCTCCTCCAGGAAGCCTTCCCCAATCGTTGGCTGGCAGGCTCTCCCTGTCCCTTTTACAGGACACGTATCATACCGGACCTCCTGGAACATGCCAGAACAAGGTCTTCCCTGGACTGAGGATTCCCCGGGGCACCCCAACTCGCCTCCTCATACTGAGGAGGCGGCAGAGAGTAATGTGAGGATCAAGGGCTTGGAAAGAGACAGATCTGGCCTTGCCCCTTCCCAGCTGTGTGACCTGGGGCACTGTCACTGCTCTGCTGAAGTATCGCACAAAGGGCCCACGTGAAGACTGACAAGGAAATATCTCACACCACCCCACACCCATTAGGATGGCTACGATCAAAAAAACAGAAGATAACAAGTGTTGGCGAGGATGTGGAGAAACTGGAGCCCTTGTGTGTTGCTGGTGGGAATATAAAATGATGCAGCCACTACAGGAAACAGCACCGTGGGTCCCTCAAAAAATTAAAAATAGAATTACCACATGCTCCAGCAACCCCGCTTCTGGGTATATAACCTAAAGAACTGAAAGCAGGGTCTCAAAGAAATGTTTGTACACTCATGTTAATAGCAGTCAAAAGGCTGATACAACCGAAGCATCCACTGACGGAGGAACAGACCAACAAACTGCGGTCTATCCATACGATGGAACATTATTCAGCCTTAAAAAGGAAGGAAATCCTGTCACACACTACAACATGGATGAATCTCGAGGACATCAGCCTAAGCGAAATAAGCTGGTCGCAAAAAGATAAACACTGTCTTTCCTCTCACATGAGGTACCTGGAGGAGTCAAATTCAGAGACAGGAAGCAGAACGGTGGTTGCCAGCGGCTCTGGGGGAAGAAGGAAGGGGGAATTGTCACTTAAGGGGTTTTAGTTTTGCACGATGAAAAGAGTTCTGGAGATTTGTTACACGCAGTGTGAACGTACTTAATACCACTGAGCTGTACACTGAAAAATGGTAAAGATGGGGGGCCGGCCTGGGGGCGTGGTGGTTAAGTGCGCATGCTCTGCTTTGGCGGCCCGGGGTTCGCAGGTTCGGATCCCGGGCACGCACCGACGCACCACTTGTCAAGCCATGCTGTGACGGTGTCCCATATAAAGTAGAGGAAGATGGGCACGGATGTTAGCCCAGGGCCAGTCTTCCTCAGCAAAAAGAGGAGGATTGGCAACAGATGTTAGCTCAGGGCTGATCTTCCTCGCATACACACACAAAAAATGGTAAAGATGGTAAATTTTATGTTACGTGAATTTTACCCCAATTAAAAAAAATATCTCAGAAAACTTTAATTCCACCACCCTTCTCCTAAACCATTTCTCAATGTTTTCAGGATGGGAGGGCCATGGTGGACCCCAGCTAACTGAGAAAGAACCCCAAAGTCTAAGGCCTGGAGACCTGCTGGCCTCTGATGAGTGTCACCTCCCCTGTGGGGGAAGCAGAGGTGGCAGAGATGAAGAAGGTGCCTTTCCTTCCCTGGAGAATGAGGCATCGGGCACTAGTTCTCAAGGGCACACAGCGGCAGCTGTTCAGGGCACAACAAAAACACTAGCTTGGAAAGCAGATGGCTATGTCCTCCTCTGTAACTTTGCAAAGAACAGCGTGTACGGGGGTCTGATCAAACACGACTTAGATTCAAACCCAGCAAACGTTCATTGAGTTTCTACCATGTACCAGCCCAACAGCAAGAGGTTTTCATTTTAATTCAGTCAATCATGTGACAGACACTCACTGAGCGCCTATGCTGTGCCAGGCACGGATCCAGGCACTCTGGGTGTACTGAGCGTACAAGATCCTTACCGCCACGGAGCTTACACAGTGGTGGGGAGAGTAGGCCTTACCACAGTCTCCATTTTACAGAGGAGGAGACTGAGGCTCAGAGAGGTTATGTAACTTGTCTGAGGTCACACAGCTGGCAGGTGGCTGAGCCAGGATTTGAACCCACGCAGCCTGGCTCCAGTGTCTTACCCTCCCCGCCACACTGATGCCATCCCACTTAACCCCCCACAACAAATCTGTTCCAGTTTATTACATCTATAGAGGCTGAGGGTTAGCCCCGAGTGGGAAACTGGAACAATGAGTAACTCTGCATCCTGCCCCTATTCTCCTCTGAGGATGTGGCAGTGACTTGAGAGCAGCCGGCTCTGATTTCCAGAGAGGGACATATGTACTTCCCTTCCTCCTTCCTTCAGCCTAGTGGGACCGTCCTCATACTTCAATTGGAGAAGAGCATTATTAGGAAGGGCTGCCAGACCAGAACCAGCTTGGCAGACAGCTGAGGGGCTTCTCAAAGGTAATTTTGCTACATGTGTGATTTTCACGTCCCTGGGGCCCTGAGAACGCATTTCCCTAGAAGATGTATCTCCACTGGGTTTGGAGTTTGGCATGGAAGTCCGGGACTCTGGTCACGGCCATTTGGAAAATAAGAAAATAAGACCGGGCCGCCAGAGAGAAGAGGCTCAGAGCCCGCCAGGCTCCAGGCCCCGGGAGCCAGAAGTGAGGGCTCCAGGCACATTCTCCCCTCGTCCCTCCTCAAGGGGAAATGGGGGTTTCTACGTTGTACTAGCAAGAGGAGGAACGCGGGGAGGGAGAGGCTTCAGTCTGGAGCTGAGCGATCTGGGAAGGCCTCCCTGGTGCGGTCCAGGGTATTTCCCGCCTCCTGAGGTATCTGGGTCCTCCCTGAACACCATCCCCTCAGCCTCTGCCTTCTGCATTCCTACACAAGTTACTCCAAGACTCCCAGAGGGCACTTCATCTCCTCCCAGCCCTCCCACCCACTCAATTCCAGCGACAGGGTCCTTCTCTCTAAGCCTTGAAGACATGGGCTCATTCCCACCTCCGGACCTTTGCATGTGCTGTTCTTGCTGCCTGGGATTTCAGCCCCCAGAATGGTACACGGTGGCTCCTACTTCCTCTTTACCTCTTGGCTCATAAGTCATCTCCTCAGAGAGGCCCTTCCTAACCACCTCATCCGAAGCAGTGCCTCCCTCCCCATCACTCTCCCCTCTCCTGATTTTATTTCCTTCCATGAATCTTCACCACCTTAATTACTTTGCTCACTTATGCTCATTCCTGGATTATTGTCTCACTCTTCCTTTGACCTCGAAACTTTCTAGAAGCTTCCCCAGAGCAGGGCCTCATCTCCCTTGTCCATTTCTCTAAGCCCACCTCCCGTAACAGTGTCACGTAACTGCAGGTGCTCACTAAGTACAGGGTGACTACTGAATGGGTCCTAGATGCTGCAGCGCTCTGAGTCTCAGACTCCTCGCCTGTAAAATTCAGACAAAGACCCCTACCCCGCAGGGCGGCGTGAGGACTCAGCAAGATGCTGCTCGCGCAGAGCCCGGCACGCAGCCCGGCACAGCGATAATTACTAGTCCAAGCACCATGCCCTGCACAGGGAAGGGGCTCAAGGAAAAGATAAAGCAAGTTCTCAGCCCATCCCTGGAAGGCCGGGCTTGAAAATGACTCGACGCCATGGGCAGCGCTGTTTTCTCAGGACTGCCCAGAGCAACAGTGCCTGGCGGGGAGTGGGGTACCAGCCCACCCCGCTCCCGCCCAGCCCTGACCACCCCGAAGAAGCCCGGGGGCTCCAGCGGTGCATACCAACTGGCTACCCCGCTGCCTCTCGCCTGGCACAGAGCCACTGCCAACTCTGCCGGGTCCTGCATATCGACGTTTAAGCAAAGAACACAAAACACCTTAAATAAATGCTACGGTCTTATCGACAGGAAAGGAGAGCTGAGAAAGCATCTCCAGAGGGAAGGCACCTGGCCCAGAGCCCCAAGCTGTGTGGCCTCCAGGCTGTCAGTGTCCAGGTCCTAAAACAACGGAGAGTTACATTCTCAGTCCCAGAAGCAACCACGGGGCACAATGCACACAGCACCCAGAGTGAAGTTTAAAAACTCAGGGGGACCATCTCCCTGTCCTTTGTTTTAAAGAGTTAAGGTCTGGAGGGATGAGGGTGGTAGGGGGCATGTGCTGATGCCTCTGGCCCCCTCCTTCGGGTTGCAACAATCCACGGCGCTCTGGGCAACAAGCCCTCCCCCATCAGCAATACTCTTGGTGGTTCTGTCAATCAAAGTGCCCAGCCCTCCCCGCCAGCCAATCAGGAGCTCCCTCCCGGGAACGTGCATCTTGAGGGGAAGGATGCAGAGACCTAAATGGTGGCGATCCCTTTTCTCCTGGGCGCTGCACCCTGAGTTCCTCAGCTTAAATTCTGCAACTGCCCACACCCTTCCGGTAAATTCGTACTTTGTAGAAGGTGAGCAGGTCCAGTTTCTGTTCCGTACAACCCAAAAGCCACACTGCAAAAGGTTCCCTGTGGAGCCTGGAGTGCTGGCAGCTGTGTGTGGCCGCGCACCTGGGTCTGGACCGGTGAGAAGTTAAAGCATCTCTAATTGAAAGGGGAGCTCTGAGCTTTCTCTCCCTCTTTCCACTCTAGGTGCTGGAATGGGGATCCTCAAGGGTGGGAATGGTGGCAATCGGGGTTCCAGAATAAGACATGGAGCAGAGAAGCCCCAGCAGCCTAGACCGCCCCCTCTGTTCTGTGTCAGGGAGAAATAAGCCATCTTATTTAAATCCCAGTCTTTAAGATCTTTTGTTGAATAGTTTACCCTGTATCATCATATACACTGCACAGATCAAAAGGAAAAGAAAATGAAACCCTTCAGCAAGGACTTGAGGGAGAGAAGGACAGAGCCTCGACAGAACCGAGCCCCTTCTTCGGGCCTCTAAGAAGCTTCCCTGTTCTGGGTTTGGCAGGGAGAATGGGGTCTCGGGGGCCAGCCTCCCCCACCAGCCCTCCACCTCCAGTCAGCCTGCCAGCTCACCTTTTTCTCGTCCCCGCCCTGCAGGAGGTGCAGGGTGCTCCTCCGGTCCCCCTCGCGCTGCCTCAGGGCGCTGCCGTGGGGCTGGGGCAGGCCGGAGGGCGGGGAGATGCTGCGGCCCTGCGGGTCCACCCAGGTGTAGACGTGGTTGGTGACGTAGCCCCCGGGGATGCGCCCCGCCGAGTACACTGACAGTACCAGCTTCTTGGAGCCCTTGAGAGCCTAGAGAGAGAGGGGCACACGGGTTAGCAGGAGGGGGGCGGTGAGGGACACCCTCCCGTCACCCAGAACTTGCTTCCTCCCAGGACCCACACGTGGAGGAGAGGGCCAGCCACTAACCCCCTTCCCTCTTCTAGCCCTCAGTTTTGTCCTGTGGACACCAGGATGTCTGTTCCACCCCTATCTTGAAGTGGTCCAAACACAAGAACTATGATCTCCCAGCACATCTGTGCAGAGAAAAGTTAACAGCAGGCCTGAGAGCGCATCCTTAGGAAAGCCTGCTTGGCTGGTACCCGGGACCCTGGATTCTGAGTGTCCCCACCATTCCCTAGCTGATAGGGATGGCTCATGGTGCCTAGGCTATTCCTGCAAACCTTGTGGGGTCTGGAATGTACATTCAAGCAGAGGCTGTCTACATGACCAGCCCCCAATAAAAACTCTGGGTGCTGAGTCTCTAATGAGCATCCGTGGTAGAGGACATCTCCCACGTGTTGTCACAATCCAATGCTGGAGGAATTAAGCATGTCCTGTGTGACCGTGCAGGGAGAAGCTTGTGCCTGTTTTCCTCCAGACTTTGCCCCGTGGGCCTGTTCCCTGCGCTCATTTCCCTGTGTTTCCTTTCGCCGTCATAAATCTTAGCCATGAGTACAACTGTATGCCGAACGTGCGAGCCCTTACGGAACCTGGGGGTGGTCTTGGTGACCCCCATAAAATAGCAGACGAGAGAGTCAAGGGATAAAAGTATTGATAACCATGATAGCTTAACATTGATAAAGGGCCTGTATGTGTCAGACCTCTGCTCTGTACCTGACATGCTTTAGCTTCTGAAATCTTCATGGAATCCAGTCTTGTGGGGGATGGATCCCATGATTCAGAGAAGAAATGGAGGGAAATCGCCTGCCACACAGCCAGTAAGGGGTTCCTTTCCCAGCACAACTAATTTTGAGTGTAGATACCACCCTTATTCTACATTTTCCACTCTGGGGATGGAACAACCACAAGGAGAGGCCAGCCCAAACTCTATGCCCTGGTAGAAGCTGAAATCCACCATATTGCTTTCCCATAATGCACCTGTAGCTGAAATGAGCCATTTATTCAAGGAAACAGTCAATTAGCACTAGGAAACACGCCAACACCAGGGAATATTTGAGTCAATGACAGTACCTACACATATGAAAGTTCACGCTGCCGTTAAAATCACATTTTAAAATCATTACAAAGAGTTTGTAATGCCAAGAATATGTGATATATTTTAATGTTAAATGGGGTCAAAAGGATATAAGTCATGTCTTACAGTATGATCTCAGTTATGTTAAGAGAAAAATATCTCAGGAAGAAAACAACAAAACTGAGAAGTAATGTGCCAAGAAGCCAGCAGTGCTTCTCTCTGGGTGGCAGGATTATGGGTGATTATTATTTTGTTCTCCCTGTTTCTCAATATTTTCCGAATGTTCCAGAATGAGGGTATATTGCTTTCAGTATCAGAAAACCATATGCCTAAAAGGGGGAGGGGAGAACTTGGCTCTCTGGGTCCCCCAAGCTTGCCTGAATCTGGGGTGCACTGGGTTCTATTGGTTCCCCGACACTCAGACGAAAGGGGTCAGGGTGGAGCTTTCTAAGATGGTGGGGGGAGCCCTGGCCGGGCGGGGCTGCCCAAGGAGGACCCCCCACCGCAGGACTGGATGCTCTGACATTTGAACCTCTCCCAGAGGAGGCAGAGCGAGCTGGGAGGCGCCGTGTCCCTCGATTCCACAGCTCGTTGCCACTCCCCCGGAGGGATAAGGAGAGGATGGCGGCTCTCCAAGATTCTGCTTTTTAGAAAGATTTCTGAGAAGATAAGCGGGAAAGATTTACAGCGTTCCTTCAGCGTTCCCGGGGACTCCCTTGACAGAACAGCTGCGAAATCAGATCTCTGTTAAGCTGGAGATGCAGGATGGAGGATGCTGGAGACCAAGTGGGCTTCTGCCGGAGCAAAGTGGGAATTGGGTCCCAGGCAGAAGCACCAGCAGCAGCAGAAGGCTCTGAGGCCACCGCGCCCTCTGCTGTCTTCCTGGTCCCTCTTCTCTGCCCACTGCTCCCTCCGCCATGATGGCACTGCTGGCTGCTCCAATGCTGTTCCTCCTAGCCTCCTTCTTCTCTTTACAGATCTTGAGTCTGAGCCCCATCATTCACTCGACAAAGGTTAACTGAAGGCCTACTGTGTGCCAGGCCTGGAGAGAACAGAGCGGGCATATCCTTATGTCACTTGCAGCCTGGTGAGAAACAAGGCTTCACCTGGCACACAGTAGGTCCTCATGATGCTTGCAGCCGGGTGAGAGACAAGGCTTCACCTGGTACACAGTAGGTCCTCATGATGCTTGCAGCCGGGCGAGAGACAAGGCTTCGCCTGGCACATGGTAGGTCTTCATGATGCTTGCAGCCGGCTGAGAGACAAGGCTTTGCCTGTACACAGTAGGCCCTCATGATGCTTGCAGCCAGGTGAGAGACAAGGCTTTGCCTGCACACAGTAGGTCCTCAGAGAGCCTGGTTGACCCACCTGGGTGAGAATGTAAATATACAGCCCCCAAAGAAACCATAACATCCCCAGGCATGATTCTGCAGCCATCTTACTCATCTGGTCTGGAAGGCGGGGCTAGAATTGAGAACAGAGGACGGCAAGTGGAAGGAACACAGATTGTGGATTCAGGCAGAACTGGATTTAAGTCACGCTTCCGTCACTTGTTAGTCGAGAGTCCTTGGGCCAGGCGCTTCCTCTGTCAAGGCAGCACACGTGAGATGCGAACAATACTCCCCTCTCAGGGCTGTGTGGATTAAATGAGCCAGTGTGCACCAGGTCCAGGCCTTTGCACACAGTAGGAGCTCAGCAAGTGCAGAGCCCACTCCCCTCTCCCCACCAGAGCGTTGGCATCAATAAGAGAAGCCAGGTGTGGAAAAGCTTTGTCCAGGGAGTTAAAGAAGAGGGTGGGGGAGAGAACGGAAACCAGCGTGTAGAGCGTGATTTGTATTCTGTGTCACCGGCAATAGTGGAATTCTCTTGGTCAGGTCTATAAATAGGCAACGAGCAACCTTGAGACGGGAGAGGAGGTGAATGCCTTTGATGAGAACACCAGAGACAGCTGGCGCCGGAGGGAGCTGGGAGGTCACCGAGTCCCCCACGCACTGCCCACCCCCAATACTTTGCAGAAGGGGACCCTGGAAACCCGAGACGGGAAGGGAAAAGAGGGGACAACCCAGACCCAGAGGCCAGCCGTGGGCAGCCCCTTCCCCTCTGCACCTGTTTCCCTACCACAGACCAGAAAGTCTGACGGCCACGCAAGCTTAGAGGATTCCCGAACCTGTGATAGTGGCTCTTTGTGGGGAGGGGGGTGAATATGGGCTGTCATTGGGTCTTGGAGAGCAAGAATGTCATCATCCACTGCCACCTTCTTTATTTTTCTGGTAAAACTGAAAAAAACCAAGATTCCGGAGATAGCTCTTTTAGCCTCTAAGCCGGCTCTTGGAACGTGGTCTCAGCGCCGTGGCCCTCAGATCCTGCAGGCGGGTGCCATCCACTGCTCTTTAATTTCACTAAAACGTGTGTGTGTGCCATGCGGGGAAGGCGAGGTGGCGGGGATGGTCTAAGAGGCTGGTTTCTACCCTCTGATTGCCTTCTTGCCTCCATTTTTACAAACGACCACTTGCTTATTTTAAAGGTGGCACTGAATGGAGGAGTTGATTCCTAAAGTCAGCTGGCTGATGCATTCTCACTCGGCTAACCCTTCCACCAGCTTTCCACACTCACTCCCACCGCCTCCTTGATCCCCAAGGCTCAGGCTGTCTGGGGGATCGCGTGGTCCTCGCTAACGGTTAGGTGCACTGGGCCATCCACTTCTCAGAACTAGCGGCTTCTCCTGCCAGAGCGAGCCCCCGTAGCAAGCAGCCCTAGGCAGCAGGACAAACTAGAAAGAGCTCCGGCTGTGAGACAGAGACCCGGGCACGTCCCCGCTGTGCCGCTGGCTTGCTGGGTGACCTGGGGCTATGTCCTCCTCTCACTGGGCTTTGGTTTTGCCAACTGGCAATGAGCAGGTTGGACTCAGTGATTGCTAAGCTCCTGCCCCAAGCTAGACTTCGATGTTTTTAGAAGGATATTTACCCGCACAGTGGTCCCAGGTCATGGTGGCGAAGAGATCAGGGGCTTCGGGGCGTGTAGGGATAGACTCCAGACAGGCCTCAGGGCTGGAAACCCAGCCTCGGTTTCCCCCATTTAAGGAGTGAGCACTCAGAACTGTGCTGGCTGGTCCTTGAACCAGATCTTGAACCTGGGGGCTCTGAGTTTCCATGTCAGTCCAGAGGGGCCAAGAGGGTTTAAGAAAACACCAGAAGGGCGGATGGAGCATCTCAGGTGTGGCAGGATGCATGCCCCAACTTCACCATCATGGGCAGTGGGGGACCTCCTAAGGGACCTGAGGGCTGGGGCAACGCCCTTCCAACGGGACTATGGCTGAGGGGCCCTGCTCTTTGCGGGCAACCACCTACGGGTGGTAAACCACATCCAACACTCACCTTATAGCAACCTACATGCTCTGCTGTGCATGTTGGTGACTCTGCCAACCACAGCCCCTCCCGCTGTGGCAACCGAGGAATCAGCAAGTCTCCTGAACCAATTGCTTATCAGCTGTGCCACCTCACACAAGTTCTGAACCTCTCTGTTCATCTGTTTCTCTCCTGTAAAACGCAGATCATAATTCCACTCTCTCTTTACGTAGAGGAGCCCTATTAGAACAAGGCTTGTCACTTAAGAAGTCAATGAGCTACGGCTAAAAAGGAAAAGCGTGAGATCTAGGGCGAGACCACTGCAAGCAGAGGGGTCATGAGAGTGCTACGCGCCCATGCTTGTTACCACGTGTTTACTGGTGAAATTCGACCCAGGGGCTTGCCTGCATTCCACCACGCCAGATCAGAGAGAAACCTCGATCTGACCCGGCAGACGGCATGGCTAAGACACCATCCATCACCAGATGACT